ACAGTTAAACCCTCTTCTCAGAAGTGAAATTAAAACGAAAGGATGTCAGGAGGCAGAGGGGGTCGAAACCAGGTGTGGCGGTGCCTGCTCAGTCCCAGCCCGCCACGGCCGAGGCGGGAGTGAATCCCCAGTTTGAGCCAGCGAGGAGAGGGGCTACACATGCTCTGACTGCTCTCAGGATCGCACGGGGCGGTCCATACGGCACTTCACCTGTGTGCTTGTGATACCGTGGACTGAGCCCAGGACCTCCTACCGAGTTACCTCCCCAGCCCTTTTCAGTTTTTATTTTTAGACAGGGTCTCACTATATATCGCACTGGTTTTAAACTTCCAATCCTCCTGCCTCAGCCTCCCAGGGTGCTGGGATTCTAGGCGTGTGCTACCAGGCCGGGCAGAAAACAACTTCTTTATTATGGAAAATTTTGAAAAGACGTAAAAAGAACCACCTGAGGAACCCTCAAGTACCGATCAGCACACGTCAGCGTGTTTCTGTCCTTCACTGAACGCCTTCCTCTCCCCTCACTCCCTCACGCCCACTCTTGAGGCGAACCCTAAATATTATGTAAAGTACACTCTAAGGAAATCTCTGGGACAGAGGTAGTCTATGAGCAGCAGATCACTTTTCCTGCACATCCTCCTGTAAACACTATCACTACAGTAGCAAACTGGATCAGCACTAGGTCAGGCGGTGAACGAAGCCAGGGAAACGCATTTAAAAAAGACCTACCACTACGAGGGTCGGTGCCCTTCCAGGACCATGTGTGTCTGCCAGTCAGCCGCTGTGTAAGCATCACCCCGGGAACGTGGCAGCCGGAAGCAGCAGCACTCGCTATCCCACGGTTATGGTTTGTGTCTGGGCGGCCCCGCAAAGCCTCACGCAGTCATGGGGCCGACTTCCAGAGTTTATGATTGATCCATGGTCCAAAGTTGGCATTATGCATGTGCTACACCTGCCCTGGGGTGGGTAGTTTGCATACAGTGTAAGGGAGGGAAAGAGGCTGCTTGCTGCCACTCCTCCCCTTTGCTCTTGTTGCCTTTGCTGTGTTCTGCCGCCATGAACTGTTGCCCTCTGCCTTGTGCCTCTCTGCCCTGGAGCCAGCCAAGTATGGACTGAAACCTCCACAAATAGTGAGCTAAATAAACCTTGCTTCCTTCATTTTGGGCATTGGGTATTTTGTCTCAGCAATGCGAGAAAAGTGACTAAGACACCCACGTTTTTTGTGAGTGGAGAATCTGGAGTGGCTTGGCTGGGTGATTCTGGCTCAGGGTGTGCTACCAACCAAAGCGCTGGCTGGAGCCACAGGCATTTCAAAGTTCAACTTTGGGAGGACACCCTCCCAAGACTCAGTCACAGGGCTGCCTGGAGACATGGCAGCTGGTTTTCCAAGGGCAGACAAACGATCGTATCCTCTGGATGAGAAAAAGACAGAGGTCTTGGGCTTGGTTTGGTCTGGTTTTTTTTTGAGACAGGATCTGGGTTTGTAGTGCAGGCTGTAGCGCAGGTTGGCCTTGAAGTCATGGTGATCCTCCTGACTCAGCCTCCCAAGTGCTGGGATTACAGGCATGCGTCACTACATATGGCTCAGAAGTCTTTTTTTATAATCTATCTTGTTAGAGATATTGTTACTTTTGATGTACTCTGTGTAACAGAAAAGTGTCCCTAAGTCCATAGCATTCAACATGCGGGAACTACACAACGGACACTGGGCGTGGTGGTGCTGGACTGTAATATCAGTACTTGGGAGGTTGAGGCAGGAGAATCACCATGAGTTTGAGGCCAACCTGGGCTACACAGTGAGTTCAAAACCAGTCTAAACCATACAGGGAGAACCTGTCTTAGAGGACCAAACCCCCCTCCGCCCCCCACCGAAAAAAAAAGATCACCAGAGACACAAACACTAGGAGGCAGGGACTGTTGCCTGAGATGCTCGGCATCACATGTGCTTAGTGTTACTGAACTGGCTTAATACTCACAGCTTACTGTAAACTAGTAAGTGTCTTTCTTCTTTAGGAGTACCACTCTACCCACTTTCCAGATGAGGAAGAGCAACTTGTCCAAGAATGGAGCCCGACTGACGCCAGTCATTCCCCATTTGGGCGTGTGTGTGTGCACTGCACATGCCGGTTAAGCGCTCTTTACCACTGAGCACACCTCTCTCCCAGACACTGTCTTTTTTTTTTTTTTTTTTTTTTTTTTTTTTGAGATAGGGTCTTCCTATGTAGTACAAGCTGGCCTTCAACTCACTTATGTAGCCCAGGCCAACCTTGAAATCACAGCAATCCTCCTGCCTCAGCCTCCCAAGTGCTTGGATTATAAGCATTGGCCAACACGTCTGGTTAGGAATTTTTTTTTTTTTTTGGGTGTTTTTGAGACAGCGTCTCGATATGCATTTCAGGCTGACCTTGACCTCACTGTGTAGCCCAGGCTGGCCTTGAACTCACAATGATCCTTCTATCTCAGCCTCCTGAGTGCTGGGATTACAGGCATGCACCACCATGCCCGGCTAGGAATTTTTTTCTTGAGACAGGGTGTTATTTTGTTGCCAGGGTTGTCTTGAACTCATAATCCTCCTGCCTCAGCTTCCGGAGTAGCTGGAATTACAGGCATGTGCCACCATGTCTGACTTGTTTTGAAGTTTTGAAAAGAACAAATGGAGTGGGGGGCTGGGGATTTAGCTCAGCGGCACAGGGCCTGCCTGGCAAGCACAAGGTTGTGAGTTCGATTCCCGGTACCAGAAAAAAAAAAAAAAAAGAGAACAAATGGGATGATACAAGTGATGGGGCCTGCTGTCACGTTAAAGATAGCTACCAAAAATATCTTGCCGATTTTAAGAAAATTTTCAGTATTTGCATTGAGCACCTTTGTGCTGTAGATCCCCAGAAGTCTGCAGTGAGCATGCCGTCAGAAAGTACCAGGAGAGGCATCTATAGAACGTATGTCTCTCTCCAATGGGCTGCGGGGACCATCCCAGGGCCTTGTCCTGTGCTCGAGCACAGAGCTGTACCCTGGGCCCTTACTGCCCTTTCTACAGGCCCAGGTGAAACTGCGGGGCTGCAATTATCACAACTATGTGGTTAGTGGATTCTCCAGTTTGCCTAATACTGTTAAGACAGTGAAGTATTTACATGTTAAATACACAAGTTAACTTGTTTAAATGTAAAAATGAACTTTCCCCACTGGGCACATACAAGTGCAGTTCAGAAGGTTGTTGAATCAAGAACTTCTAAATCTCTGATGAAAACTTAAGCCCACAGCATATAAGCTTGTTTTCTGAAACTTTGGCAAGAAAATGTCAATCCATGATGAAACTATGGGAAATTAAAACAGTAAGAGATGTGTGTGTGTTTATACATATTTTTTTTATTTAATTTTTTTTTAGACAGGATCTCACTATGTAGCCCAGGCTGGCCTCGAACCTGTGATCCTCCTGCCTGGGATTACGGGCATGTGCCACCACATCTGGACCATCAGTCGGTTTTCAGGAGACCACAATGTGTGCTGCTATGCTACGCTCTGGGCTCCAGGAAAAGCACATGACATGTGAACACACACACGTGATTCTGCCCTTGCAGAGCAATGTTTAAGATTTTTTTTATTGTAAATTTTTGGGTTTTTTTGTTTTGTTTGATACAAGGTCTCGCTATGTAGTGCAGAGAGGCCTTGAGCTCACTTATGAACCCCAAGGTGGCCATGAACGCCCAGCTCTCCTCTCGTCTCAGCCTCCCAAGTGCTGGGATTACAGGTGTGTGCCACCACACCTGGCTAAAACAGTGAGAAATATGAAAGAATTTCTCAAATCCTAAATTGCAAAATGAGAAAAATCAATACAATGGAAGACACTGGCTTCTTCCATTTTTCAACAGTGCAGCCGAGAGGGGAATTCTCAATCTTCAGATTTAATGATGGGCGGACTGGGGATTTAGTTCAGCGGCACAGGGCCTGCCTGGCAAGTACAAGGTTGTGAGTTCGATTCCTGGTACCAGAAGAAAAACAAAAAAACAAAACAAAAACAAAAAAAGATTTAATGATGGGCTGGGGATATAGCTCAGCTGCACAAGCGCCTGCTTGGCAAACGCGAGGAACCGAGTTCGATTCCCAGTACCGCCCAAAAAAAACCCCAAAAATTGAGAGTTAATGATATGTAGCCCAAAGATATCTTGCCCAGTTTAATTTGTGCGTGTTCACGTGTGATGCTGGGAATTGTGGCCACATACAGGCTGGGTAAGACGTCTACCTATAGAGACCCACACTCCTCAACCCCAGTTAAATAGTTTGAAACTTTTTTTTTTTTTTTTCGTCTTTTTTGAGACAGGGTCTCGCTATGTAGCTCAGGCTGGCCTTGAGCTCCCTTTGCGGCCCAGGCTGGTGTCGAACTCGCAAGGATCCTCCTGCCTCAGTCTCCCGAGTGCTGGGATTACAGGTTTACAGGCGTGCGCCACCACGCCCGGCTTATTTTTAAACTATTAATTTGCAATTAAAATTAATTCGCACTTTGATAAGGAGGGACAAGAAGTTCAAACTAAATTTTGAAATATTAATTCTTTTAAGAACTTGTCTGAATTGTCACCGTCAACGACGGCTTGCAGAAGTCCAGACTGACTAGGAACCACTGTGCCGGGCCCTAGGGACTGACCAGGGAGCGCTGGGACACACCCCAAGCCCTTCTCCTTTTGAGACAAGGTCTCACTAAAGTGCCAGGCAGGCCTCACACCTGCAACCCTCCTTCCTCAGCTGCCCTGGCAGCTGAGATGAGGGCTGCACACCACCAGGCCTGGCCAAACGCGTGTTAAATAGGCCTTACTTCTATTGATGTACATTTCTTCTGAATCATTTTTAAAAAATCAGTTCTGACACTGTTCTGTGACTGAATGCAAAACTCAAATTTTCTGCCTGTGCGTTTATATCCAGGTGCGATCTCACTTTTTCTTTTTAAAGCAAAAGTACAGACCAAGGAGAGAGTAATTCTCAGGAAAATGATCATCACAGACACGAAAACTCACCGGAACTTCCCAGATCTCACCGGTTCTACCGTGATCTGCGGTGGAATCTTTCAAACAGTTGCCGGGTATTTTTTTGTTGTTGTTTGGCTAGAACTAGTTGAAAGGCAAAAGTTCTGACTTCAAACCATCTGCTGCTTCTTGACTGGGCACAGCTTTAAAACGTCGGGAAGTATCTTGCAAACTCTGCAGTGGAGGAAAGTCTCCGGACACGTAAGCGCGGAGAAAGGCTGCGCTCGGGGCGGGGAGGGCCGGGGACG